TAATTAATGACATTAGTTTCAATTTAGCTTGTAAGTCAACAATTTACGCAGATGACACCTCTTTACTTGTTAGCCATAGAGATTTAGTTTGTATGGGAAATGTTGCCGATTCTGTTTTTAAAGATGCTGAAGAATGGTTTACAGTAAATGGTTATTTTTTAAATTCTCAAAAAACAAAGAGACTATTGGTGACCTTGAAAAAGAATCATGAAAGCCATCAATTTTTTCATGATTATGAAAATTTTGTAACATTACTTGGTATAAAATTAGGCTGTAAGCTATCATGGTCTGACCATATTAATTTTGTAAATTATAAATTGTCCAGAGTTGTACATTTGTTAATAAATCTGAAAAGACATGTTTCCAGTAAATACTTGAAAATGGCATATTTTGTTGTTTTTTTTTAAGTGTTATCAGGTATGGTTTGATTATCTGGGGTAACGGAGTTGGAATTGAAAAAATTGTAATCAAACAAAAAAAAAACTGTTAGAGTTTTGACGAACTCAGAAAGGTTAGCCCGCTCCAGGCCACTTTTTGTCTCATCGGGGATCCTGACTATTGTTAACTTGTATATCTTGGAGGTATTGATGTTTGTAAAAATTAATTTAAATATGTTTTCTGTCAGAGAAGAAATTCATGATCATGTGACCAGATTAAGGCATAAATTAGATCAACCAAGGTTTAGGTTAAGTAAATCAATGAATTATCATGTTAATTTAGGTGTAACATTTTTCAACAAGTTACCATTGACTTTTCAGAATTTGCCTCAAAAAGCATTTCATAATAGATTGTATAATTGGTTACAACTAAACCCATTTTATACTCTTGATGAATTTTTAAATATTAAAATAGAGTCTTCAAGCCTAGCCTAATTTTAGATTTTAAACAATACATGATTTTTCTGTGATGTTAGCTCAATTTAATGTTGCTTGTTTATCAATGTGAATCATATATGACGATGCCTATTGCAAAATGTACCTCAAAGTAAAAACATTGACTTAAAACTAAATTGCAACTGACCAAGATCTTTATATTTTTTATAAACTAAGCTTTATTATTATGAAAAAAAAAACTTGACTGTCAGCTTAGTTGATATCAATACAATGAACAAAGTTCTTTTACGTTAAGTGGTGTCAAAATTTATTTCCACAGCTTGGGCTGGCAGTAATGAGTGCTTTAGCGGCCATGCTAAATCACTTTGTTTTCCATTTTGCTGAAACTTATAATTTTAAAATTGTATAATAAAAATCATTTTACAAAATTATACTTTTATTTTCGTTAAAACTATTAATAGTAGAACAAGATCTAGATTTGTTCAGATACATACGATAAAAACATAAACCAATTTTTTACTGTGTTTATGGAATATTATATTTTCAAATATTATTGCGAATATTTTATTTACACCAACATAACATTACATATAAAAGTTTCCTCATAATTAGTACTCTTAAGGATCAGCTAGAGCCAATCAAAGGAATATCATGAAGTGTAATTTTTACACTTTTTCATCTGTAACGATGATGCTCTATAACGAGCAAATAAAATACATATTTGTAAACCGTTGCCTGCCCTCTAATATTGTTTACAAAAGCTAGCTGCAAAGTTTACCCAACAAATAAAGAGGAATATTAAATTTTAGTCGACATCAGTATACTCGAACTATGTTCAAACGAAGTCAAAGATAAGTCTACACAAACGCAGGCTTCGTATTTTACATTTATTTACTTGAAATTTTAAAATAATTAATTTTGAGTGATTTCTGAATAATCCAAACATATTTGCAGTACTGGTAATTTAAATTCGATTTACAAGTTCATAAATATCAGATCTATAAAACGCAGCAGGCATTATTGATAATGTAAAAAATTATGTCAAAGTCGTTTAAAACAAAACTTTCAATGGTTTAACGGGTATATCTTTACAGATTTGACACATTTCTCTACTCCTTCGAGTCTTACTAAGTCTTACTAATTTCTCCCTAGACATACTTTCTAAAGTATGTTTTCGTCAAAAGTTTCAAGCTTGAGTTTTTTATGTATCTGTTTTGGGTCACACTGATCCCAAAAAAGTGGTTTTCAAATTATGTCTGTGTGTGTTTGTGGGTCATGGTGAGTGTGGATGTGTACAGAGCTACAGACTACACCTGTGGTCTGATTTGGGTGAAATTTAGAATGCTATGGTCATTGTGATTCTAAACAAAATGGTATAACCACAGTTGCTGTAAAAAATACAGTACGGTTCAAAAGTTATTGCAACCTTTTATTTTTTATTTTTTATTTTATTTTTTTATTTTTATTTTGTGTACTTATTGTGGAAATAAATCTGATTTGATTTGATTTCACATAAAACATTATAGTTACTACCACCGCTTATATCTGTAATAAAGGTTGTATACAGTACGAGCAGTATACAAGCTAATGAAAGAACGTATGTGTCAGACTGCTGATACCGTTTATTTTAGGAACGAGTATTTTTTTGCTAAGGAATATCTCCCTTTAAGATGTACAGGGTATCCTGATAAATGAGAATCAGCACAAATGCAGACTATGTCAGAGACGAAGAGCCTCTGATAAACTGGGTTGTTATCAAGTCTCGCTACAAATGACAGCATCAGTCTCCGACTTGTATCAGTAGATCTTGGAAAGAGCTGGTTCTCTAGTTGTAATACAAATCTTATCCAGTTTTATTTATCTCTTATTTTTCTCTGTTTATTACACGATTACTCCTCATTCCATTAGGGTGGATTCTTAAACTAAATATTTTTTATCATACTATCGTTAAGCTACCATTGGTGAGATTTCTTCAATTTAGAGATAGTATGGGATTTTACAAGAAGATGGCACCCCTATTAAAATTTATCTTTGCAAAAGAGGGTGATTAAAAATAAACCAACCTAACCTAACCTTGAACCCAAAGAAACTTCAAAACAATCAGTTATCGTCAATCGTATTCTGTAACCGAGAAATTATATCACCATGTTAACTGGGGGAATTTGAACCTATACCTTTTACCTCTAAATGTTTACAAACGCAGGAGTTTTGAGCTTTGTCCCTAGAATAACCTCACATTGCCAATAAATAAATTATTAGTATTTTCTACCATATTTTCACAACCACAACCATCTTTTCATTTGTAACAATATTAAAAATCAAGATTACCGCAATTTCTTTAGTAATAAAATAATTATTTTTAAGACAAGCCAAAAAATAATTATTTCCCAATACTTAAACAATTTCATCATATCTGTTTGGATCGATAAGATCCCATATTGTAAGGGGATGTGAGGTGAATTTATTAGATAGCATCTAACACTAATGTGTAGTTTGTCGCTAAGCTTGGGTATTCGAGAAGCCTCATAACGTCTTGTGGTGAAGCCCAAGTACTTCCGCACCATTGCATGCTCAATGTTGTATGTACAGTATATGGTACTGCATACAACCGGGAATAACTCATTCGACTTGTACATGAATGAGAGCGGTGGGAAAATATAGCGGGTAAATATTATACTAAAATACACACTGCCGAAGCAGGTTTTAGTGAAAATATGATAGATTGGAATAAAATAAATACACTTAAGACAATTTTACGAAACCTCATCCATAAACAAACAAACTAAAACATTTTACTTTCACTCTATGAGAATAACAAGTGAATTAAAAAAAGATTCCGTAACAGTTAGACGTAAAGCTACGCATCAATGCTCTAAATTGTGTTTTATCCCTACATATCTGTTTGAAAGGCACTGATAAAAGTTATATTTTAATGGTAAATATGGAAACCAGATTTTCACACCTATGTGTCACCTGATTGTGCGCCCGTAGTCAAATCATGCTGGTCATCGAAGTCGTTTGAATAATCGAAGGTTTACACGTTTGCAGCGAGTTCAATCAAAATCGGGCAGTTTTACTCGAGTTATTGTGCTGACGGGCACGTTAGAAAAAACGTCCTAATATTCCTTTATCCTTTGTAGTGTAGTTTTAGTACGTTGTTTTTTGGCCTCTGGAGGATATCAAAATAACGAGTAATGTTCCCGGGTCTAGGTCTTTAACTAGTGCCATGGAATAGCTTCTTCTTTATAAGAAAAATTTCTAAAAACAAGTATAATTTGAGCAATTCAACTATCGCTGAAACTCGTTGAAAGATATTAGAACAAAATGATGTGGGTGATAATTATCAGGGCCTACATAATCTGGCGATTGTAAAATAGTATATTTGCGATTAAGGAACATTTTGAGATTTTTACGCTTTTTTTAATGTGCTCAAACATTAATTAGGGTTTCAACTACTGGGGTGCTTTCAAAATTGTTCATTGTAGTATACACGAACAAGGTGTAGTCGATTTAAATCATAAGGGTTCGTTTTGACAGCAACGAGGTAATTTAAATATTGATAAGTTGAATATTAAAATTGAGTTTCTCACGTTAGCTTCACAATATCGAACCCATAAAACTACGTACGATATGAACAATTGCGTGAATGTAGGATGAAATTCATGCCCATTCCTTAACCACTTTATCCCATCAAAAAATGTTTCTCGTTTAGAAATTCCTCAAAATTTAAAACTCAAGCTGAATATGTACCAAAGCCTGCCATTTTGAGAAGACGACCAAATTGATTGACAAACTTTCGGAACAACTTTGGGGAAGGATATCTCCAAACAAGCGGCTGTCTTTATGAAACATGTCAATATTGTTTCTCAGTCGGTGGAACATTTTAAGGTTTGCTTTAAGTAACTAAGTAACTGAATGTTCTTTCCTATACGATTATAAATTAATTAAGATCAGAAATTAGCACAGAACTTGTAATAAAAACTGCCTTATGTCTATATTCTACGTCTACATCACGTTCACTTGAACAGACCTCGAAGAGAAGAAGCAGGAAATGTGCTTCTTCTCTTTTCGTAGCTCAGATGGTCTAGTACATTTACCCTCTTTATCATTTGTATCTCTTAAATCACGCTTTTATACTTTATATTTGACAACCATTGTTTTTTGCAGCAATACCCAATCGAGCAGACGATCTGTGGGACCTTGCAGCGAGAAAACAACTGGAAATGTTTCATCCTGACTTCCCTTATCTTTGGCTGTCTCGGAGCCGTCACGTGGTGTCGCCTTACTCAAGTTACCAAGGTAGTCAGTACCTGCTGTGATTGTTTGACTCCAAAAGTTTCTAAAATATTTCATTTTGAAGTTTTCTCAGTATAGTACCAGTAAGTGTTCATTTCCGCGTTAAGTGCTTTGCAAGAAAGTACGATACCATGGATTTGTTATGGCAATAGAATCGAAATATAAGTTCAAACATAAACTCACCTTGAAAGTAACGGTCTTTAAGACCATCCCTTAATTTATAGTAAATGAAGAAAGGGTTTACAGAACCATATACATATCAGATAGCAGGATATGAAAAATTAGGCTCCTTGCCTTACCAGAAAGAATATCTCGTATGGAGACAGCTTTTTAAATTAGAGAATCTTCGTGCAAGAAAATTCGTTAAGTACTTATAAAACTTCTAATAGATCGAAGATCATTTCCCAACCTTTGTTGTTTGTTCTAGGTCGTAATCAACTTGTCATTGACACCAATCAAACGGGATCGTCAGATGTCTCCTTGCGACGAAGGATACATCTACATCCCTATAGCATTCATGTGCATGCTGTACCTCGTGTATCTAGTGGAGTGTTGGCACTGCACGGCCAGGATAGAGGCCGGGTGTCGTGTTGGAGTCACCAGCGTGTTGGAGAGGATACAACAGATGAAGGAGGCGTTACCAATCCTGTGGTGAGTTATACATCTACATCCCCATAGCCTTCATGTGCATGCTGTACCTCGTGTATCTAGTGGAGTGTTGGCACTGCACGGCCAGGATAGAGGCCGGGTGTCGTGTTGGAGTCACCAGCGTGTTGGAGAGGATACAACAGATGAAGGAGGCGTTACCAATCCTGTGGTGAGTTATACATCTACATCCCTATAGCATTCATGTGCATGCTGTACCTCGTGTATCTAGTGGAGTGTTGGCACTGCACGGCCAGGATAGAGGCCGGGTGTCGTGTTGGAGTCACCAGCGTGTTGGAGAGGATACAACAGATGAAGGAGGCGTTACCAATCCTGTGGTGAGTTATACATCTACATCCCTATAGCATTTATGTGCATGCTGTACCTCGTGTATCTAGTGGAGTGTTGGCACTGCACGGCCAGGATAGAGGCCGGGTGTCGTGTTGGAGTCACCAGTGTGTTGGAGAGGATACAACAGATGAAGGAGGCGTTACCAATCCTGTGGTGAGTTATACATCTACATCCCTATAGCATTCATGTGCATGCTGTACCTCGTGTATCTAGTGGAGTGTTGGCACTGCACGGCCAGGATAGAGGCCGGGTGTCGTGTTGGAGTCACAAGTGTGTTGGAGAGGATACAACAGATGAAGGAGGCGTTACCAATCCTGTGGTGAGTTATACATCTACATCCCTATAGCATTCATGTGCATGCTGTACCTCGTGTATCTAGTGGAGTGTTGGCACTGCACGGCCAGGATAGAGGCCGGGTGTCGTGTTGGAGTCACCAGCGTGTTGGAGAGGATACAACAGATGAAGGAGGCGTTACCAATCCTGTGGTGAGTTAAATATCTACATCCCTATAGCCTTCATGTGCATGCTGTACCTCGTGTATCTAGTGGAGTGTTGGCACTGCACGGCCAGGATAGAGGCCGGGTGTCGTGTTGGAGTCACCAGTGTGTTGGAGAGGATACAACAGATGAAGGAGGCGTTACCAATCCTGTGGTGAGTTATACATCTACATCCCTATAGCATTCATGTGCATGCTGTACCTCGTGTATCTAGTGGAGTGTTGGCACTGCACGGCCAGGATAGAGGCCGGGTGTCGTGTTGGAGTCACCAGCGTGTTGGAGAGGATACAACAGATGAAGGAGGCGTTACCAATCCTGTGGTGAGTTATACATCTACATCCCTATAGCATTCATGTGCATGCTGTACCTCGTGTATCTAGTGGAGTGTTGGCACTGCACGGCCAGGATAGAGGCCGGGTGTCGTGTTGGAGTCACAAGTGTGTTGGAGAGGATACAACAGATGAAGGAGGCGTTACCAATCCTGTGGTGAGTTATACATCTACATCCCTATAGCATTCATGTGCATGCTGTACCTCGTGTATCTAGTGGAGTGTTGGCACTGCACGGCCAGGATAGAGGCCGGGTGTCGTGTTGGAGTCACCAGCGTGTTGGAGAGGATACAACAGATGAAGGAGGCGTTACCAATCCTGTGGTGAGTTAAATATCTACATCCCTATAGCCTTCATGTGCATGCTGTACCTCGTGTATCTAGTGGAGTGTTGGCACTGCACGGCCAGGATAGAGGCCGGGTGTCGTGTTGGAGTCACCAGTGTGTTGGAGAGGATACAACAGATGAAGGAGGCGTTACCAATCCTGTGGTGAGTTATACATCTACATCCCTATAGCATTCATGTGCATGCTGTACCTCGTGTATCTAGTGGAGTGTTGGCACTGCACGGCCAGGATAGAGGCCGGGTGTCGTGTTGGAGTCACCAGCGTGTTGGAGAGGATACAACAGATGAAGGAGGCGTTACCAATCCTGTGGTGAGTTATACATCTACATCCCTATAGCATTCATGTGCATGCTGTACCTCGTGTATCTAGTGGAGTGTTGGCACTGCACGGCCAGGATAGAGGCCGGGTGTCGTGTTGGAGTCACCAGTGTGTTGGAGAGGATACAACAGATGAAGGAGGCGTTACCAATCCTGTGGTGAGTTATACATCTACATCCCCTAGAATTTCCATTAACCATGTCTTCTTCTACATGTTGTTTCCCTATAAATTGTCAAGAAGTGTTGAAGGACACTGCAAATTTTTGCATGGCCTCGTACACCTAGTTATCTAAATATTAAATTATCCTCAGAAGAGAATTCGTTATCAAGGGTCATTTTATGATGTGATGTCCTCAATTAATTACGTTGTGAACTCTTTTTAGCTACTGTATAACCATAGATAAAGACACTCCCTTGTGTTGTTTAGGCTATGCTATAACTTACGTGCCGTAATCTAATGGTGGAATTAAAAATTGTTTCCTCTTAACTAATTTTCAAATTACCACAAAATCTTTAGAAGCCTTATTGGCAGGATTGGTAGACTTCCAATACTTTAATAATGAGTTTAGCAAGATATTGGAAAATCATCTTTCTCTTACTATAACTCCTCCTTTTACCGATCCTGGATGTACTTTCCATCACATCCAAAGTGTTTGAATACAATCCCACACACGATCTCATAACTACATTGCCTACGAAACTAGCAACCTTAATTTAAATAAAAAAACAAACTTTGAAGGCACATCCTTTTTGTTGAGTTAATATTGAATATTTAAGTAAATTCCTTGTTACCAATTGAATGCCTTAAACAGGTGGAAGGCTGTGTGTTACCACTATGTACGTCGCAAACGCCAGGTGACTCGGTATCGCAACGGAGACGCCTACACCTCCACACAGGTGTACTACGAGAGAGTCAACTCTCACGCCGCAGGGACCTCCTTCGTGTTTGCCTACTGCGGGGTCAAAGACATCTCAAGGAAACTCATCCTCAATGAAGCCCGCGGGCAAATCACAAAGATACGCTTTAGTAAAGGTGATAATGGAAAAAGATTGTTGCACAATTTTAGTGCCTACAAATAACCAGCGCTTTTTGTAGTTTTTGTTTTTTTCTCGTTTGCATTCAAATAGAGTAGTAGTAGCCCAAGATATTAAAATTGAATAACTTAAAAATACTATCAGACGGAATTTGTTAAAGGAACATGGTAGGATAAAACTACCATTAGCATTAATGGTTTAGCTTTATCTTAAGTTTCGGACTAGATCTTTTTCTGTAATTACTATAGCTCAAAGCTTATTAATTTTCTTTTCTTAAATATCGTAGAAAGACAACTCACAATGTTAGTTGTTTATAAAGATCCTTTACAATGCTCAAATACTGGAAAGAAAGTAAGCATGTGCACCCAGGGAGCACTGCACCTAACTCTTAACAACATTGCTCACCTTCAACGCCGTATTTATTACGCTTCACTCTCTTCAGGTTTCGCTTTCGCAAACGTGGAGGCGGCCGCAGAGTTTGAGGAACAGAGGAATCGGTTCTTCGCAGAGCATGAGCGATACGACGACTACATGGAGATGAGAGAAGGTCTAGACCTCACGAACATCTCTGCGTTCAAAGAACACGTCATTGCTCTGACAGACCCAGACCGTATGCCGTGGTATGCCAGCCGCGCTGTGTTCTGGATCTGCTCCTTCTGTCTTCTGTCATGGCCACTGAGGCTCATACTGGAATACAACACTGCCTATGTCCACTATCAGGTGAGAGTTCTTTAGGGGCTTTTCCCTGTCTGAAATACGTGATATCTATATAAAACATGACCAAATCATTTAGAAGAGCTATTAATTGTTTTTGAAATCCACCTAATATATATGAGTCTCTCCGTAAAATATTTCTATTACACCACCAAATAATAATTACTTAAAAAATATTTTGATTAAATTACCACATTTTTTCATGTAGCAAAACCAAATTAGACAAGGTAATGCATATCGTTTTGGTTTCAGGATTAATCCTGAAAATAGTCAGCAACTTTTTGAACACGGATGTTCTTGATCATTGTGTTTCTAATCAATTATCAAAGAATTGATGAATGTGTTATTATTGGTTAAAGTGCCAGTTGATCTTACTCAGTATTAAAGCTACACCATCTCATGTCAATAAATACGCAAAATGCTTTTATGGGGCTGTATCAAAAGAAAATGTAGGCTATCAAACTTATCTGAAGTAACTTACCCCTTTTGCAGGTGACCAAACTGTTCGGAGTCAACTACGAGACGTCCGCCAGCACCGCCATCACCCCCACCGCCGGGCTGCCCCTCCCACAGCCGCGGTCTTCCACCCTCCACAGCATCGCACGTAGCACAGCAGACAGCGGGGAGCTGGAATGGTGTATCCGCGAGAACACAGTGCTCGTCCCCAGCTACTCCGAGGCCTTATTGCTAGAGGGGAGTCTTCCAACAGCCACATCCTCCTTCAGCATTCGCACCAGCAACAACAACAACATCCACAGCAACCGGGGTAGTTTGGTGTTGCGAACTTCTCAGGATAATATATCGCAAACTTCTAGAGTTTTATATTACTCCAGTCCTCTAGCGGAAGGGTGTCCCAGCGATCCGTTCAGGGGGAGAGAAGCGACAACCCCTACCGAAGAACCTCCTCCCACTTACGAGGAAGCTATGCGTTTCCCCGTCCTCACTAGGCTGCGAAGATCTCTTACAGACCGAGGGGAGATTTGTCGACGCTCTTTGTTCTCACAGAGGAGATCATGTTACGGCGAACCTTCCCCAGTTCCTGTTCATAATGAAATCCGCCTGCCTTCCAGGGGCCGCACACTCATCACCATGGAGACCAGCTTATAGCACAATGTTCCACAATGTAGTCTCTTGGCCTTGCTATTGCACGTCTCGCTATAATATGGCTAAATAGTTAGTAATCAAGTAAGAGTAACGTTCTAGTTTTGCCACAAATATGTAAGGTACAGATGAAAAAAAATCAACGGTGGTGTTGTGGTCTAGCTCTAGTCACTGGTGATTAGGTCAAAGCCCAACGACGCCCCCTCCCTCGTGCACTACACAACGCTCACGGTGGAGGAAGATCCTGTGCCCTGGAGCAATAGGAATTTCTACACATTGCTCACCGCTCGGGCTCTTCCTTTCTTCCTTGCTTGTCACAGGGCAAGTATGAGCATTGTGGTCGTTGTTGCCTGTTATATAACCGCGACAACATACTAGAGCTGAAAGTGCACGGTCGTCCTATAACAAGTTTCCTCTGTATTTTACTTCTCTGTGGTTTTGCTCAAAATTATTTCGGTTGAAGTTGTCGATGTTGGCATACATGTTGGTTGAAAGTTGAAATGAATGCACTGTTAAGTTGTGGATAAAATATAGGATGATTTGTTTGCAAACATGTTAAACTTATCATATTGGATTTTTTTTTAGTTTTTTGTGCGATCGAGCTTCTTCTAGAGGGAAGAAGGCGAAGATTATTTTTCAAGAGAATCATATGTTTAAATTAAATCCTTTTAAAATTAGAACTTTCTTCTATTGGTGAGTTAGACAGTAATCAGTTTTTATTGTTAGCCTTAAAAGAAATAAAGATCACTGTCTACCTGATCTATCTTATAAGCCTACCCCATATATTACAATTTAATTTTGTAAAATTTAAATTTTATATTTTTAAAAATTACATTTACCTAATTAAATTAGGCTAGTTAATTGCAACAATTTGACAAACTCCTAAAAGGTAATAATTAGCATTGAAATCAAAAGTGATTTGAGTACTGTCAACTTTGAGGTACGTAAACATCAAATCATTGTATTTTTTCGTAGTTTGTTTTGCCAAAGCACGAAATGGCTGCAACATCTTACAGTTACAAGTATTTTAAATCGTACAAATGTTGAAAAGACTCTGATATTGTAGATTGGAATGATTGTTTTTGAAAGTTTTTATTGCTCTTTAGAAAATAGAAAGAACCGGAAGAGGTTTTTTTAAAGTCCTCGGATGTTTTGAAATGCAGCATGACTTGAAGCTTTGTCTTGGAATCAGTGTAATCTCTAATGTAAGGCTTGTTAAGTGAAATAAGTGTCAAAGTCAACACTTCTGCAGAATGCCCTAACCTAGATGTTTTAACAAGATAAACAAAAGAGTTAAATTAATGCAAACAATCTTCGCATGTATGTTTATAAACAAATAAATAATACAGCTAAGATATCGTATACAGGGTATTTCAAAACTCGCATGTCAAAACTAAAAAGATATAAGAATATCTCATTCCAAACAGTAAATGATCAAATGTGTTTACAAATAAGAAATTATGTTGAAAAACATCTAACCACAATGCCATGTTAATAAATGAGTGACAAGGAGCAAAATCTAAATATAGTTTTGAAACGCCTTGTATCATGAATTATATGTAACTTGTTCAACATCCATGGTTATAAGCTTAAGAAAACTTGAGGCTGCCTTAAAATGTGCGTGAAATAGCTCTTGTTATTTTGTGGTTTATGTCTCAAGACACATAATTATTGTACAAAGTGAGTAATATTATGAGAAATCCTTAAATCCATACTCTGTATTCTCTTCCATTGGTAAACTATAGTAAAGTGTTACAACAGTATTAGACGTAAATTATAATAATTAACAATTGTAGACATATACAATTACAATATGCTTCATTCGTTAATATTTTATTTAATTTTTTTTATTGAGGACTACTAAAATATTCACATTTTAAATAACCTGGATATAATTCCATTTGTTTGTTTCAGCATAAAACCCTTAGACTCACGGTTGAAGTACTGTCTAGCCGAAATAAAAGAGGAAATCAATTATTAAGCACAAATAGTTAAGTATAGACTTTGAATTGTATAACAACGTAACCAGTAACGTATAGTTACCTTTAAATACTCTAACAATTGAGTCGTAATCTTAGAGGCTTTAAAGACTAACATTTTCTTCCGTCCTTCTTCACCTCTATGCATAATTTAAACTCCACATTTGCTTATGTTTATCTTCGATGTTTAATCATTCTCCATTATTCTACAGTATAATACATTACAACGGTTTTTATATTCAACTTATTTGTCTACTTTAACTTCTGATTGATGTTTATAGTTTAAAATCTCGCCGGATGATTCGCAATGTGTCAAATTAAAAGTGTCTGTTTGAGGAATTATGTTCCTTCGTTTATGATAAGGAAACATAGAGTAGACAAAGATCCGTAATTATTAGTATTATATATTGTTATACGACGTTTCAGCAGATGAATAAAGGTAATTTGTATAAATTTCGTGTTTTATTATTCGCTTAACATCATAAGTTACCTTGCCTTAGTTTGGAAAGGAGAATTAACTAAATTTGAGAAACTATAATCATTGACTTAATACAACTAGACATTCCATCCCCATGAAAATTTGTAGCCAGTTTTTGAACCAAAATCGTCGTAGTTGATGTGAGCCACTGACGGACTGTGCTGATCCAAATGACTGATTTCTGTCAAATACATAATCTTTTTTCAAACTATTGGAATGACTTGTGACCTATAGCAACTGTTGTGATCCATCAACTTGGACAGCAAAAAAAAAATAAGGTACAACATAGAGTTTTAGTCACTGGCGCATTCTGCAACTGGCTCACACGACTACGTTCTTTTTGAAAAAAAAAATGGCTACAGCTGGTCCATATAGATGGGACGTCTACTTCGTTATCCAATAGTCAATGCTATAACCCTTGTTTCTTAAGTTTATAAAGGACCACGTTACGTTTAAAAATGGAAGACAAATAGCTAATTCTACTGACTATTAAATTTAGATATTCTAGTGATGTGTTGAAGCAAAATCTCAAATCAAACCGAAAAACTATTCAAAATTTGATAAGATGGATTCGGAATGGAGTCTCAAATATTATTATTCGTTATGCTCATCGTCTCTTCACGATACCACATCCAGAAAAATTATTCCATTGAAAAAATAAATTGTCTCATTTGGTATAGTTTAGCTGTTTTCCGTTAACTTGTGCCTGCTAACATCTTGTGTAGCTCATTTTTAATTGGGCTCGTTAGGATGAAATGTCCGTTCAATTAAAGTAGTCACTTTAACATCGTTCAAGATCCAAGAATCTCCAAGAATCATCCAAGAAATCATCCAAGAATCCAAAGTACAAAGACATTCTCTAGTAATAGTTGTTGGAACTATTATGAACGCATATACCATGTTAAAGTAAAATATATTACCAATATTACTATATTCTCACTATTAATTACGAGTGATAATATACCAACATAATGCAATCGAGTGAGCATGAATAAATAATTGCAGCTCATTGGTTCTCTGAGTGCATAGGTTTGCAGAGATGAGGGTACTCACATGTCAAATATCGCATGACTAGTTATTACTTTCCTAGAGAGGTAAAGTTTTAATGTATAGTTGGCAATCAATATCAATGGGTGGTTAATTGCTAATTATCAATAAATAGTGAATGTTGTTCATTAAACGTATTGTCACACTGCTGCACATAGCGGAATTGGATCAGCAAAATGACTCTGTGTAATTGAACAATCCAATCAATTGGATTGTTCATTATTTGTGTGGTGGAAAATAAGCTAGAAGAGAGTATACGAATGAAATCTTACCTGGTAAGAAACCATTTTGGAGTAGGCTAATGATTTTTTTTAATTGAAAAATTGCATGATGTCATACAATAAATTGATTACGCTGGTTTTTATTTTAATGCTTAACATGGTGTTTATTGTATGGAACTAAAGATCGAGCAAACCATAGTAAGATTATAAGTACAACGAAAATGAGTTTTATTTTAGTGCATCATTACTACTATTACCTTTTCCACAGCGTACATGAATTTAGAAAAAATATGTGACATTTTGTGTGAAATTTTAAGGATTCTGTAAATTATAATTTAAATGCATCTTTAAACATGAGGTAGGGTATACATGAAACAAAAATACGATTAAGCGAAAATAGTTCATGGTATATTATATAAGGCTGTCAATTTAAAAATAAATCATTTAAATCCAAAATAATAAACATTTGCACACGTTTAAAAGTTTTCATAGAAATGTTTGTATATAGTATAATTATATTTATATTTAACTGTTGTTATTCATTTTAACATATTTTTACATTATGTATAACAGCTAGGCTTGGTAATCTTTGAACAGTTATCCCTTTTTAGGTAGCAAATACAATAGAGAAATCAGAAAAAAAACGTATTTCTAAATTATTGGAAATCCTGTGGCAACGGTAAGCCGCAGGGCAAACCACTTTACATTGTAAACCTATAAATGATTTGTCATCTAATCGAGTTTGTCAGATCTCTGATTTGTGGTCAATGTCTAATTTTAGTACACATTATTTTAGTTGGGACATAGTCTTTAAGTCGATATTATTTGTGTGAAAAAGTCTTCACCCTTCAAATATATTGCAAATCTTTACATTTCTCGATTATGCTATCAGGTATTTTTCCCTAGACATTAGACACGAGAACGGGATTGTTTTTCACATTACTTCAGGCTATACCTAGGGGTTGCAGCATTATCAGATAAATCCATTCGGCAGGATTTGAACCTGAGACCTCAGGGACTTAAGTCCCGCACTCTACAACTATACCAGCTTGCTCCCTTTGCACCCATGACGTATTAAAAGACCAGTATTGTGAAAAAAAGTCAAATCCTCACTTTGCGAAGGATTGAGGATGGAAGGGAAAGGGTATTTTGGAGAAGCAATACGATTTGCCCTTGTGGTCAGAATGGGTTTACCATTGCGGTCTCGTAAAAATGACCCTTGTCAAAACCTGACCTCACAGTACAAAATCTACAGTCGAAGTTTCTGTTGGGGTCAGGTTTCGTAGTACTAATATTTATTTCTGCATTTAGTTTTTTAAAAATAAACCGAATTAATTGACCGCAACATTTGCGCATGTTCTTCGTTATTTCTTAAAAAACATATTTCAGTATGCACGCTTTTATTCTTTAAAATAATTGATTTATCCTCTAGTGTTGAAAGAAATTGTAAGTTAAAACACTAGATACGTATCTCTCTCACAGCTACTGGAATTAGGTTTAGAATATATAATAAATGAATGGTTTACAGAAAAAACATCAAGAAATTCATTAGGAATGATTTTATCATTCTTTTAAAATAAGTTTTGTTAAAAAATGATTTTGGTTAGTACAAACTTTTTTGAGTAAACAGCAGATAGTTCTTAGATAGTCAGCTTAGAATATAGTGGATCTATTTTTCTACCAAAGATGATAACTGTTTAACTTACGAGGTATCATTACCTACTTTGGACACATGCTTGCCTAAATTCAGTGTATGTTTACAATAATTACGTGTGTATTATATTTTCACTTAGACTCACTGTTATACTTTTAGTTTTGTGTTAATGTTATGTTTTTTAACCACTCAAAAGGAATGAACCCATACACCTTACAGCTAATTTTGAGGTATGTACCTTTACTTAACACATATAACTTTATATTTCCAAAATTTCCCCTTATTTTATAACCATTTATTAAATAAATGCTTAGATTCTTTTTCGATTAGAAAACGTTTGCAGATTGCGAATACTCTTTTCACGGTTCGTTGGACTACGAACAAATACAAGTGATTCAACATTTATTCTGCCGTATCAAAACATCAGCCTTCTCTTTTTGTTTGTACAATCCTTTTGTAATCCAGGCTCGTTGTTGGATCTTTTTGTATGTTGATTCACTAAAGCTTTTATTAAACTTTTGTAGGTTAGGTTTAACAACATTTTTGGATTTTACAATAGAGAATTTGCCGAAGTAAAATTGATGTTTTATATGCAGTTATGTATCAATTGTTGAAAATACAATGTTTGCCACATGAAATGGGCAACGTTGGGAGAGGTAATGTGCTTAGTATTTTTAATGGAAATTCAAATTGAGTGTTTGCAAAATAGTGTAACCACGATGTTGTCTCTAAATATATTGCGGTTTTGTGGTTTAGCTAGAAGTATTAAGTAATTGCATTTATATTGTTTCCTTTTTATAAATAATCATGAAAAATGTTCAGTTTTTACCTCCTATTCTCAAATTTTTGAACCAAGTTCTAGACAAAGAGTCTCACTATTTATTCTGATGTAATAAATGCAATATTGTCTGCACCAACATTTGCTATTTTGAGATGTAATTAAATAATAATCGTGTTTGCTGTCCACTAAAATAAAATAAATAGAGTAACCATTTTTGAGTCGAAATAAAAAAAACATATTATTTGGAAATTCTACTCGCTTCCCAGTAATTGATGAATCAAGATTTTGTATTTAAAAAGGGACTAATATTTGTATCGTAAAGCTAACGATGATAAGTATCAATATCATGTTTCTAAATTGGGTTACGTCAATCTAATTCAGTTTTGTAATTTTACCGCATTTAAAAACAGGTGAAATCCCTCATTATATTAGGCATGACAGAACTATAAGTTCTGGAGGAAGGAAGATAAACAATAACACGGTTCGCTGTCTGCATACACAAACATTTCTACATCTTCCCAGTGTCGGTCTGATCATGATACAAGTATATTGAACGCGTGCTCAAGTAGTTCTCAAGTAGCTTTGTGAGTTCTGTCAGTTGTATGAGATTTGTAAAGGCCAAAACAAAACTACTTTTTCATCGCACTGCATGCATAAACATGCTAATGCCTCAACTGATCTCATAACCTTTTTGCGCTTCGATTATTATATTCATGAATACGACTAAGAAGGTTTAGCCCAAAGTATTGTGTTGACACTGAAGCATATACAGTTCCAGACTAGTGTCATGGGGCCAATGAGCCCGCGGGAGTCAAGCCTTTTAGTGTGTGCAAAGGTATTTTAACCTCCCCCCCCCCCAAAAAAAAAAAAAAAAAAAAAAAAACTGCAATAAATATAGGTGATACCTCTTGCAAATTTGAAGACCAGTATTTTAGTATTATATATTCTGCTATTATCTAAGCTAATAAAATCACACAATAGTGTCCTACATAATTTTTTTTTTATTTGGCCCAAAATTATTTCTGTCATTGTTTACGAACAGCTGTTACCGTTAATAAGAAGCAACTCGTATTACTCATCCCACACAATACTGGATTCAAATTCATTGAATTTTTTGTCTTTATTTTGATGGAGAAAAATGTCGATATTACGGATTAAATTTTGTTAAATCGTAAAAGGTTACACTACAATAAACACGAAAGCATTTTGAAAACAAAGCATAATACATTATTCAATCCTTACTATTTTTTCGACA